CCCAACCCTTTTTTTTGCTTTAGGTTATTTTTCAGGTAGGCTCTGGAGTTTTGGCCAGGGCCGCCTGGAGCATGATCTCTGACCTAGGCTTCCGATTTAGCTGAAATTATAGGTAGCCACTATGCTGGCCTCATTAGTGTAACAATTTCAACAGTCCCTGACACAGTATTTACGATGACTCCCTTGGAGAAGGTAATGGTGAGAAGAGAGGGAAGCTGAATTAGAAGCACGTGGAAAGTACCTTTCTGAGCATGAGCTGAAGGCACAGTAACCATGCCTCAATGGGTGTCAGCTCTGCGTGCAGCCCAGAGCTGGACAGAGACGATGCCTCCGGAGCCTCAGGTAGTTGATTTGCACCCATTGTACAGAAGAGGACATCAAGGCATGGACTCGTGTACCTCAAGGCAAGGCCTCACAGCTGGCAAGTGGGCAGCTGGGATTCACACTGACAATCTGGCACGACAGCCACATGCTCACCGCTGAAGGGTTCTGCCTCTGATGTGGGGAAGAAAGGAAAAGGATGCTCAGATGGGAAGGCGCTGGTGCAGGGGCAGGGGCGGGGTGGAGGGAGAGATGATGTGTGTGTGTGTGTGTGTGTGTGTGTGTGTGGTGTGTGTGGGTGTGTCTTTGCCTCTGGGGATCCTTTAGAAGCAAGAAGAGGCAGACACAACGGGCGGGTGGAGGAGGAAATGGCTAGCCATTAGGTGGGCTGGGAAAGTGGGGAGAGGGTGAGAGATGAGGTGCAGAGCAGATCTGGAGACCAAGTGCAAAGGCCCGGAGGAGGATGGGAACAAGCTAGCAGGTGGGCAGAACAGATGGAACATGCGGAGGGCTGGAGCAAGATGAGCCGTGGGAGGGTGGAAGGAGATCAGAGTCTGGAAGGACACTGAGCAGGAGGGGCGGCAGGCCTGTTTTTTAGGACCTGGGCTTTCCCTCTGAGCAAGGTGGGACTCATGGATGGTCTGAGCAGAGTGAGTTTTCAGCACCAAGGCAGCATCTGTGGCCTGTGGTATGCCCACGTGTACAGCTTTGCAAGGGCCTTAGCAGAGGCTCCATTGGAGAGAGCTGCGGCGCACAAGTGGCAGTTGCTTTATCTGTCTGCCTATTGTCTTGCTGGAATGGAACTCAGGACCTCGGCCACTGAGCCATAAGTCCCAGCTCTGGGTGCTGCTGCTCTGTTGGGCTCAGACCACACCAGCACTGTGTTTCCACTCAGGCAGGATGACAAAGGATTGAGAGGAGCCCTGACTTGCTGAAGGTCAGACTGGTGCAGGGTTCCTGCCTTAGCACTGCTGATATGGTTCTGGGACAGTTCTCTGTGGTGGAGGTGTCCTGTGCTTGTGAAAGGTTATCACATTCTTAAGAACTCTACCCACTTGAGCAGGAGCACCCCATGCTCCCCTCCTAGATGTGACAACCTCTAATATCCCCCTCATTGTTCGCTTGGGAGGCCAGATCCCCCACTGAGAGCCACTGGTGCAGTGGGAAGCAAGCAGGTGTGTGGGTGCTCTCCTCCTAGAAGAAGGAAAAAGCAGGTTCGGGAGGTTCTGAATTCTCCTTTGGGTTTTCGGTATGCCCTGTCCCTCACATCCTCCCTCCCCACCATGTGTTGGGGCCATCTGGCTGCTGGACAGACATCCATCCCCACTGCTTTTATGTTTTCCTCAAGTCATTGTATTTGGCATTTGCCTGATGCTGCTGGTGCCTTCAGAAAGAAGTAAATACACATGTGCAACAGCCGCCCAGGGTAGAACTTTCCCAGGATAAGTCGTCCTGCGCTTCTTCGTGGCTGTAATGTGATGTGGTCAGTTCCATGCTTGAGAAACTCATTTTGTCACCATGCCCAAAGTTGGCCTTGGTTCTAATTGGTCAAAAAGTAACAAAACCAAACAAGATACATTAAATACTGGCCTGCCCCAGTCCAGAGCACCAGGCTGAGGCTCACCCGCTGCTCGCCTGAGGCAGATAAGTCCAAGTGCGCTCCTGGTCCCGGCAGCCAGGCTATCTCGGGCTGCAGCTTGCCGAGGCTACACTGCTGCTGCTACTGCTTGCCTGGCTGCCAGCCAGCAGAGCGACATTTCAGTGAGACTAGGCCTCAGTGAGCGGTGAACGAGGCACCTGGGGAAGAGAGCTGGGGCCACCTCTTCTCTCCTGGAGGCTGGTCTGATGGCTGTGACACTCTGCTTGGCTTCCTACAGCCAGGTTCTGTCCCCCCCACCCCCCCATTCTCCCTGTCCCTTGGGAATATGAAGAGAGACACGTTTTAATATATTTTCATTAGCTCATTGCTTATTAATATCACTGAGGAACCTACTTGTTCAGGCCTGTGCTAGCTTTTCTGTCCAGAGGCAGGGTGGTTGGGTTTTTTTTTTTTTTTTCCTTCTCCTTTCATTGAAGCTAGGGATTTCTGACCTCAGCACAGTGGACATTTTGCAGCAGACTTCTTCTTCTGTACACTGGAGGGTACTCTGCAGCATCCCTGGTCTCCATCCACTGTCACATGTCTCCAGGTGGGGGCAAAATTGCCCTAGCTTAGAGCCACTGATTTCAAGAGACAGAATAGCCTCAAGGCGGTGGCCTTGTGGTCTTGTTGGAGGTTTGAAGGCAGGGGAGCTTCCTCTGTGCTTCAGTCTGTACGGAGTGGGCAGGATGAGTTCAATCTCATCTCCCAGGTCCACCAGTGCTTAGGAGGTTTCCTAAGACAAAGGCATTGCAGTTCTTGTTCAGAGAATTTAGCCTCTTTGTTTCCACGGTGCTTGGTTTGGCTTTGCAGTTGTGTTCTCTTTAGAGGCAGGTGAGGGGCTGGAGTTGTGGCTCAAATGGTAGAGGCTGCCTGCCATGTGCAAGGCCCCACGTTCGATCACCTCCCCCAGATTGTACATAGAGACAGGTAAAGGTACGGGGCTTTAGAGATGTGACTAGAGATATGGAGTCATAACTGGTTGGAAGGCAGATCTCTGACACTTGTCAGCTCTGTGTCCTTGGGCAGCTCACTTCACCTCCCTGGGCCCATTTCAGGTTCTCTAGCAATGTTCCCTGCTCTCATGAAATTGTCTATGTACAGCATTGATTTAGAAGCTTTAAAAGTGGCTCTCCAGGTTGAGGCCTGTGACATTGGGTTTTCTGTATTTCCAGCATATTAGCCACATCCCATCAAGCCCAGGATTGCACTCGATAGGCCTGTCCTAGGCTTCTTGTTCATTCTGCGTCCTTCCCAGGATTCTATCTGCCGCCATGCCTTTGTCTTTGTCCCCAGCCAAATTGCATTTTCCAGATAACCTCAGACCTACTCGAATGCCAGCAGCAGCATTCCTCAAACCAAGCTGAGCTGCCAGAAATAAGCCGGCAGCTTCCTGCTCTTTGCCCTAGAAAACATTTCAAGTGATCAAGTGGTCAGAGAGGGAGGGAAGAAGGGAGGGAGAGAAGAAGGGAGGGAGGGAAGAAGGGAGGAAAGGAAGGGTGCTGCCGCAGCTGCTTATGCAACAAGCTCTAATCCCTGGGTAAAATCCACCACGCGCCCCAGCAGCGTCTTCTATTTCCTCTTTGGGGTCGTGGAGTTAGGTGCACACGACATCTGCCACCCACCCACAGCCCTATTTGTTCCCCAAAGCAGTACTGCACAACAAGCAGGGTTCCATCTGGATGGTGGTGGAGTGTGCTGCTCACACAGCGAGGACAGCATGCAGTCTGAGTGGCTCAGGCCATTTGGTCCTTGTACAGATAACCGTCCCCAGGAAGAGCAGACTCCTCCCTTTTGGTGAGGCCTATGTCCTCAGTGCTGGAGCTTTGTCTGGCCTGACAGCCTCTGCAGCCTAAAACAACAAAATCCTCCATCACTTTCAAAAAGCCAGGGCCCTGCCCTGGAGTACTGAGTGTTTGGATTTTTAGCTCCATCCTGAGCCCATCTGATGTGAGATTCCCTGCTGGGAAGAACTTATGCACAGGCTATGGGCAACTGTTGTCCTGGGTGGGGCAGGGGCAGCAGGCGGTCAGCTTTTGGGATAAGAAAGGCCACCAGTCCTAATTTCAGGAGAGGGGAGACTTTATTGGTTCATGGTTTTCCATCCTTGCATGTGGCTGCGTCCTCCAGGCTCTTAGGAAGGTGTTTATTTAGCTTCTGTTGTTCTGGGCCTGCTGTTTTTTTTTTTTTTCCTTTCTTTAATCTCGTTGATTAAACCTTGTCTTAATTAATTAATTAATTAATTAATTTTTGAAAAAGGGTAGTAGAAGACAGATTGGGCATATTAAGACCTTTTCCTGCATTCACCTCCTATTGAAATGGGTGGAATTATAAGCAGCTCCAAAAAACTAGTTAATATTTTACTGGGGAGCAGTGCCAGAGATGGGGGGCTGCTGAGTGTAGAGCTGTGTGTGAAGTAGCTGCTCCATCTGCCTTAGGGGACGAAAAGAAGCCGTTCTCTGTGGAAATAAATTGAGGCAAGAATCCTTTGTAGCTCATGGATTTGCCTGCCCACCCAGGAGGGCCCAGTTCCCCCAGAACACACATACAGGGTGCTTGTGGCAGGAAGGGCCCACCTGTGGGTGTGAGGCCTGACTATAATGCGGGTTCTTGTTCCCCGGCTGGGTTTGACACTTTCTTTCTCCCTCTGGAATTAAATGGCTTCTCAGACCGAGAGGCACTGCCTGTGTGCCCTTGATTCAGAAGGTACACGCCTCCTTGGGAAGCAGAGGCGAGAGACAGCACGCGCTCTCTCTCTCTCTCTCTCTTTCTGCATCTGCCGGGAGAGCTGCAGCTGGTATTTTTCCACAGGCCTTTTTCTGCGATCTCAGGCCTAGTTTTTCCCAGCCAGGCCGGAGTCCGAGAGAGGGTTAACAGGCAGGAAGCTGAAGGCTTCACAGGCTAATACGGAAGTCAGATTTTGTTTAACTGACAGGTTTAGCAGGCCTCAGCGTGGGGGAGGGGGCCGGGAGGGGAAGGGAAGGTTGTAGATGAAGGCATGTGGCCTGCTAGGAGCACATTTGGCTTTTCTTAGGGTAAGCTCAGACAGGACCCCCTCCCCTGCTTGGCATCCTGGCAGGGAGGCAGGAACCCATTTTGGTTTTCCTTTGAGGACTGAGGGAGGGGGTGAGAGGTTAGCCTCTCAGCCCGGCAAATGGCTCTCTGGCCTGCTCTTCCAGGAGGCATTTCCACAATGACTATGCAAACTTGACCACTCTTCCCCTCCTCCCCCCAGCGGCCACTCCTCAGTCCTCTGAGAAGCCAGGCTGCCCCTTGCTGGTTTCTTGGGGCCGCCTGGGCTGCCTGTTTTCCCCCAGCTCCTCAGAGGCCTGCATCCAGCCCCTTTCCTCCTGTCCCTCTGCCTGCCTCCCTGGGGCTTCCCAACCCTCAGCTCCCCTTTCTCCTTGGAGGCCTCTCTCTCGACTTGTTCTAGAAAAGGACCGGCCTTCTAGGAAAGGGGCCACTGCCGTGGGGGCAGGCGAGGGGTGAGCCCTTCCAGACCACCCCAAAAACTCTCTTCCCCATGGCACCCGGGCCTGAGGCTTTGCAGGAGCAGGTCAGGCCGGCTGCACTGGTTTGCCAGTGCCGGGAAAGCTAGCCAGGGTGTGGGAGAAGTGCTCTGGGGCCCCTTTCCCAAGTGCTTCTTGCTGCAAAAGGCCTAGCTTAGCCTGTCTCTTTCTATGCACAGGATAGCTCTTGCTCACCCAGCCTCACAAAGATAATCGCTCAGGAAGTGTTTCAGCCAATCCGGGGCGGCTTTACACTCCGATTGGCCGGGGCAGCCAATCGGGGATGAGCTTTTATTAGGCGGCCAGATCATCAGCCGAAGTGCCAAACCCTTTTTCTGTGAGAACTAGGAGCCTGTCCTCCATGTTTTATAAGTATTGACATTACACAGTGTTAACAATGCATCCACAGAGGTAAGCTCGGCTTTTTAACCGTCTTTCTCCCCCTCCCTCTGAGACATCCGAGTTTTGGGCGAGCAGTGTGATTTCTCTGTGGCTGGCCGTGCCACTCACCCCCAGAGCACTTATGTTAACTTGGAACTGTTTAGAGAGAATTTTTTTTTTTTTTTTGGCTTTCTTGGGTCACATGGCTAAGTAGCCATTAGCCATAGCTTGATTTTGCAAACTGGCAAGGGCCTGGCACCCCTTCTCTTGCACCAGAGCATGGTGCTTCTGGAGTAGTTTGAAGCTGGAGCCTGCTATGCCAAAAGAGAAGCTGGTTTTTTTTCTCCTTTTTTTTTTTCCCCCTTCCTCTCTTTCTCTCTCTCTCTCTCTCTCTCTCTGAGCAGTTCCCCACCCCCCCACCTTGCACTATTGTCTTGTGTCACATGCCTGCTGGGGGGAGAAAATGGAAGGTAAGCAGGCTTCCAGAGAGGGCTCATGGCAGACAGCAGAGCAGGCAAGCTTGCCTCTCCAGAGAGGTTGTGGGATGGCTGGAGGAAGTTCTGACAAGAGACGGTGCTAGAAGCAGAAGCCAGCCCTCACAGAGCAGTGCTAGCAGCAGGCTGGCTCCTGGGCCTAGGTGGGTGGTGGCTGTGTGTGTACATGTCTTTCTCTTCCTCTGCAGACCTTCCCCTTGAAACTACATTGTTCAGCCTTTTTTCCTGACTTAGCTGGATACAGAGAGTTCTGCAAGTCAGCCTACAGCCAGCAAATGTTCTCCAAGTGTTTTCTAGGCTCTGGAGGGAAGTTTTTTGGAGTAGGGATGAGGACTGGGGGTTGGGGAGGCAAGGTGGGGGTGGGGAGGAAGAGATCTTGGAGAACATCCTGCAAAAATACAGCCTGGGAGGACTCTGAATACCTTAGCCTTCTCCTCTTGTACGATTTTCAGGGAACTAATGTATCTTTTATCCTTATTTTCATTTTCCTGTCCTTTTTTGTTTTTCATTTTTAACTTTGTATCCTTTGCCCTCCTGTATGATACAGAGTACAGAGGAAATAAAACCATGTCTGAGGCTCATGACAGCATTCCCTGTCCAGTTGTTGGGCTGTGTGTTGTGGTGGTGGTGTGTTTTTATTAATACCATGTAACTGTTTAAAAAAATTTAATTTTTGATCAAGTCCCAAATCTGACAGCCTGTTCTCTCTTCCTAACTGTGGAAAAAATGAGACTGTTGCTTGAACATTTGTTGGGTAAGTAGAGTAATCCATTGTGGCCATGTATCAAGAGTTTTGTGAACATTTGAGGTCTGTTTGAACTAGGGTGTCTTGGCTAAGCAGTTGGGGATTTCATTAGCAGGAACAAAATAAGGGCTTTTTCAAAAGAGTGCCTTGGGTTTAGGTGACTGAGTCCACTGTTTTTTGATAACCTGCAGCTAGGATTGAAGATATCACTTCCTGTTTGCCCTTAGCGGGGGGAGAAGTGTTCAGTTCATTGTCACTTGCTTCTGAACCTTTAATTGGGTTTGTTTGGATCTTAGAACTCTGGGTGGGTGAACTGCTTGTGAAATGTTAAGGAAGCCTCTTGTTCTTAGAGTTACAGAGCCCCACAAACTTGGGGGTGGAGAGGCGGGAGATGGGGGTGGTGGTATGTGTGGGAGACTGGGGGCGTCATATTTCTACAGAGAGTACAAAATTCCATCCACCATCAAACTTGTGTTTGATTCAGGCCTCACTGACCAATGATTGGGCGTTTTTCAAACCTGACCCACCTCTCTCTGCACACTGGCCTTACTGAGGCTTTCTCACCTTTCTACATTTTCCCCTGAGCTCTTGATGCTGTTCCAGAATTTAAAAGTAAAAAGAGGTAGACTTCTTTTTGTTCGAATTACCTTCAGGATTTCCCTAGAAGGTCACTCCATAACAGGATGACTGTAAATTCTGGAATTATATTAAGTTGATGTGTTCTGCTAACTTGATGGAGTCTGTAATTTTTTTTTTTTTCTTTGAATTAGTTCTCAGCAACCCAACTGTTGACACCAGTTGGAAAAAAAAGGCTTATTAAATCAGGAGACATGCACCAAATCCTAAGTAGAGAAGCATTTTTAAGTGAAGGTAGTTTTTGATGTTTGTTTACTGAAAACTGAACAGTGCCACTGCTCTACAAGCTCAGATCCTTGGCTGTTTTCTTTTTCTTATCTCTTTGCTGTAAATGAATATTCCATATTGAGGTCTTGTGGCCTCCCCAGAAACAGTATCTAATGACAAGACTCCTGCTTTGGTGCCTTTGACGTTTGCATAATACTGTGTTTGTTGGGTTGGAAGGAGAGTTAAGGGCCAGGCATTTGTCCTGTAAAAGCTTGCATTAAAATGGCTCCCACAAGTTTGGAAAGCCAAATGTTCAGGCCTAGCAAGTTCTCAGCCTTGGATCAAGTTGGCTACTTTTCTTCTAGTGCTATGGCCACCACCAAGCACTGGTCAGTCAGTAAAAAGTCTGTTGCTTTCAAAGTGGGGTTATTTTCCAGTTACTAAAGGGGAAAAATGACCGCATTTGCAGTGGAAGTAGGTAGGAACAGCAGTGCTGGTCCACAGAACAGCCCAGTGGAGTTCTTTCTCTCTCCAATTGAGTTGGAGGAAAAGTTAAAGATTGACAATTGGAGTGGCTGGGCTGAAAACGAATCTTCTGGAAATTTCTATCATCTTTGTTCCTTTTTAGGAAAAGCAGGTTGCCAACTGAATCCATCCCCTGCATTCCATTCCTAGGGCACCTCCCCTCCCCCTCTCCTTCCTCATCAAGGTAGAGTGTAAATTGCAGAGGGACAGAATGATGGGCTGTTTTCTCTTTTCCTTCTGCCTCCACAGTCCCCAAAGAGGACGCACAGCTGCAAGGAGCAAACACAGACACACTGGAGCTTTTGATTCCTCCCCCCTCCCCCACTTTTTTTTCTCTCTCTCTTCAAGACCCTCCAGGATGGTTGTACTTTCTGCTTTGGGAAATTAAGTGGTATTCATGTGGGGGAGGGGGAGTAACTGCTTTTATTAGCTCCAGAAAATGGTCAGTGTTCAGTCTGTAACTAGGAATTAATTATATATAATCACTCAGTAAACTTTCTTCAGAGTTTTTCTAATTGCTAAGCATGACCATAGAGAGCCTGTTGGAGCCGGGTCCAGTTACCTTTATAATTAACAGCTCAAAGGTTTGAGTCAGAAAGAAAGAAACAATGAGGCCTCTTGGATTATAAATTACGGATGAAAACAATAGCTTTTTCTCCTTTCTTTCTTGTAACCCCTTTTCAACAAAACATTCCCCTTTTTCCCTGGGAGAGGCACAGGGTGGGGGTGGTGTGGTGGGGTGTGCATCAGGTATTGAGTAAGAGGGGGTGATAGTCACTTAGAAACCCAAGAAGGCAAAGGTAGGTTTTGGAAAAGTGCAACCACTTCAGATGGCATGCTGTCTTTGTTTCTTTTCCTCTGACAGAGGCAACAAATACTTGTCAGCCCTAGATCTAGTTTTGCCTCTAGTTGACCTAGAAGAGAAAGATACATTCGAGGGGCCCTTCCCCACCCCACAGCCAGATGTGAAAGGATATTTAGATATCCTGTGGTTGTTCTTAAAATGCAAAAACAAGTCAGGATCACCCTTGGCCTCAGGTTGCCGAGGCTGGGTGCCCTTCCCCCGCCACACTCTCCTTACAGACAAACAAGCAGCGGAGGCCAGGCCAGCTCTGCAGCCTGCACGCTGCCAGGCTGGCCCTCCCTGCCACCATCACCTACCTACCGGCCGGCGCTGAGCCAGCTGCCCGTCCTCGCCTGGCTCGGCCTTGGGCACTGTGCTCTCCTTTCTCCCCTGGAGCTGAAAAGCTGTCACCTTGAAACTCCCCTCTCCCAGCACCAGAGGAATCCTAAGGCCAGTTCTCAGACCTTCACACAAATGACATTAGCCATTGGGGGCTTTTAGTTAAGCCTGTGAGAGCGGGTTTTGCACAACCTATTGTTAATTGTCAGGACTCTGTTGGGGGTGGACAAAAATCTAATTTGTGAGTATTCTTGCCTTGGAGTAGGGAAAGTTGGACTTGCGTTTCTCCTCTGCAGACCCGGATTGTCTTTCCTTGGTGTTAACGGTCTTAGTGGCTCCTGCATTTGGTGGCCGTTTTCAGGCTTCTCAGCAGCCTTTTGATTTTACCTTGGCCTCAGTCTTGAAAAGCTTGACTTTTCAGATGCCCGCAGTGGGAAGCGCCGTATTTTACCTGGCTTTGTGGTAGGGATGCAAAGCTGATGTACCCTGGACTGTGAAGGGGGGAGTGGGCTTTCTCCCCCTCCAGCCCACCCCCCAGCCTGCTTCCCTGCCACATTTGTGTGTGTGCACAGACACCTGTCTGTCTGCACCTTATGCCATGGGGGGGGGTTCCTAACTCCTAACCTTCCATTCACCTCGTTTGAGGGCCAGGGGGCCCATCCCAGAGCATCCTGGTGAAGGCTCAGAATCTAAAGGGAAGGCTTTTCCTTAGGAACCTGTGACTTCACAAACTCACTGTCATTGCAGTTTTTTTTTCTTTTTCTTTTTTTTTTTTTTTTTAAGCTTCTAAACGTTGGGTCGTTGGTGTCCTTTGGTTGAGCTTCTCCTGGTTCTGATACTTAGGAAGGTGGCTTTGAAACTAACAGGGCTGCTTCCACATGAGCTCAGCTATTGAACAAACTGCTACCATTTTAGCTTCAATACAGGAATGAGGCAGTGTTGCCAGACGCCATTTTAAGAATCCTGCATAAATAGCTTAGCCACCGATGACTGCCTGTTTTAGGTGAGTGCTTATATAAGGCTGCTCTGCTAACCATTTCCCCCTCCCCCAATTTTAGAAAAATTAATTGCAGATTTAGGGAAGCATGGGTTTTTTAGTTTGATACTCACTATTTTGTGATCTAGAAGAGGAAGATGTTATGTTTGGGGATTAACTATTTCTTCCAGCCTGGACCATTTTGGTATTTTGAGTGAAAGTAGAAAACAGGAAAAGTCTTTTGGAATGATGCATGATTCCTGGGTTGCTGTGTGAAGACGCCTCTGAGAACCAGTCGTGTGAATGCATGCTGGTTGTATATTCTAAATGGGTTAGAGATTCTTGGTTGAAAGTCAAATAGTATGGGCACTTGGGGGAAAAGAAATAGCTGGGCATTGTGTGTGTATCCAGACATTTTTTTCTGTCAAAACTAGATGCTTTCTCTCTCTTTTTGGAAGTGTTGAAGGGATGAGATTCCTGGGGATTACGGACTAGCCCTGAATCCTCACAATTAATAATCAGAAGGTTTAAAGCATCTTGGTTGGAGGTGCAGAGTTCATCTGTAACTTTTAATTGCTTTTTTTTTTTTAAGTGCAAGCAGGTTAAGAAGAGTAAGGCACAGGCTGTCTTGCTCAGGCTCTGGGGGAGAAATCTCTTATTCGGAAGGGATGGTCTTGGTTGTGTTTGCAGGTGCTGGTGCTTCTTTGAATTGCCTGAAATGTATCAGTTTGTGCAATCCACAGGCAAGTAAATGTGAGTGCAAGAGGTGGTGGTGGTGGTGGTGTGGTGTATACAATGTATACAACTGGTTGATGGTGTCCTTTTTCTTTTGGGATGAACGCCTGTTGTTTGGTTTTCAGCTAATTTTACCCTTTCCTTTAGCGGGTCCCTGTTCTCTCCAATAGACCTTTAAAAAAAAAAAAAGAAAGGAAAAGAAAAGTAATGGTAATTTGAAACCAGAACTTCATCCTTTGTTTTTGAGTTTTATGATCATGGTTGCTGGAAGTTAGCAGATATGGAAGGGAAGAAGCCTTGTATTTTCTAAGACTTTAATGTGTTTATGGTGGAAGTACAAAGTATTTTCTCCAGATACAGCTGCCTTTTAAAATAATTGTTATTTCACTGTGTTTTCTTCCCAAATGTCTGGACAGCTCTTAAACGTAAATTGACCAAGATCTGTGGGTCATTCAGACAGGTACAAATCTTTTCTCATCACTACTTTTGATGCAATATTCATAGTTTTTTTTTTTTTTTTCCCTCCCCTAATAACCTACTAGTACTTAACACTAAACCAGAAAACCCGAGATCAGTGGTGTAGAAAAAAGGAAGTCCCTTTAGATGTGGCTATTCGAAATGACTAATTCTGCATTCTGGTCTTTGCTTTTGTAAATGAAGTTTTTTCCCCCTCTCCTGTTAAATGCATAGACAGTGCAGTTTTCTTTAGTCAAATACAAGTTTGTGTGTGTGTGTTTGTGTGTGTGTGTGTTTGCGTGTGTACATGCATATATGTGCATGGGGTCTTTGAAAGGATGATTTGCTGGTCTGTGAAAAAACCGGTTTTCTTAAATTGTGCTTGCAGTCCTGGATTCAAGCTGGTGGTGCTGTTGCTAAAGTTAGGTGATTGTGGCGCCCACTTGTAATACTAGGAAAGATAAAACAGCTTAACTTTTTTTTTTTTTTTTACCCCTTTTCTGCTTCAGAATATTTTAAACTCAGCAGCAAACAGCCACCTCACTAGTTTGCATCTTCTTAGCCGCCCTGCAGCATTCCTGAGCGGAGGTATTCCGCTCCTGTAGACTGTTACAAGCCAAATGATTGTTCTTGAATGCTTGCCTCCTCAGTGATCAATACAACTTTGAATGTTTTCATCGTACCAGAATCCTTCAAGTGGGTTTTTTTTTTGGCTCTGCTATGTGTAATTGTTTCTTTCAGCACTGTACATTTTAGTTGGAGCACAGATTAGCGTTTTCCCCATCACTCAAAATATGGGATCAGTTTCAAGAAGTTTAGGATTTCACAGACTTCTTCCTAGGGAGGGAACAAGAATTCTAGTTGCTAGAAAGATCAAGGTTGCTATTTATTCCTTTGATGTTAACCATCTACCCATCTCTGAGAGCTGTGTGGGGTTTTTGGTTAAAATTGATCTCCAGTTACCCCAAGACAGAACTAACCCATCCTCAGTGTCCAGTTAGATAACCCGTGTGTGTTCCAGGCAGTGTGTTTCTGAGTTGAGCATGATTTCCTCTGAAGTTGCAGAAGAAAAATAATGGTGCTAAAATCACCTTCAACAAACCACCATTGTATTACTGCACGTTAGTGATGGGTTTAAATTTAGTAGGCTGCTTTCTTCTGATGAAAACCATTTGTGACAACATGTCAGTTGTTGCTTTGGAGATGTGTGTCATTGGTTTCCGTACAGATGCTGTGTAAATGAAATTGTTAATGGGGTTCAATGTCAGAATGCTCGATGTGTTAATATTCTGATTTAAGCCCAAACTCCCTTCCTTCCTTTCTTTTCTCTGCTGGGACTGGTTAAGTCGGAGGACTCCAAGCTCCTGTGATTGAATTCTGAGCTATAATCTTTTCCTTTCTGTCTAGCTCCCATCCTGAATTCTCTCCTCCCAACAAACCTGGAGCTCTTCTAAACACGTCTCCATCTTACCCTGGGGTTCCAGGCCTGAGGCTGCCTTTTGGACTCATCTTTTGCCTGGTCACTGGCCCAGACCACGGAACACAGACAGGACACTCTTCTCCAGCCTTCTTCCTGTCCTGGTTTTGAGTCTTCCAAATGGAAAATTCCAGCCATATCAATTGGTGATGCATCTATTTCTTCTTGTTGAACCACGGTCTGTTGGAATTGAATCTAGAGGGATTGCCCAGATTCCCAGCACGGCAGTGTTTGGAATCTTCTAGAGCCTCAAACCCACTTACACCACAACTGCAGAACTGCACTTTTTGAGTGTCAGCAGGGGGAAGATCTGAAGTGGCCTGCTCTCTGTTCCAGCTGAGAGAGAGAGAGAGAGAGAGAGAGAGAGAGAGAGAGAGAGAGAGAGAGAGAGAGAGTTCTGGAATACAGACCTTGCCAGATAAGGGGACCTTGCTTTTTTCCCCCTTTCTTCCCCAACCCTCCACTCCCAGCCTGGGTCTTTTAAATCCCTCTTCATTCCACTTGTGGTGGGGGTTAATTAGTTACAGCTCAAAAGGAAGCCATGCCTGCTCTACAAGGACTGAAGTAAAGCATGCAGGGGATGTGTGTGGGAGCGGGGACCCCCCACCAATCCTAACTTCTGGGATAAATGCTTGTTGTTTGGATTGCTTAGAGACCAGCTCTTGCTTCTACTCTGGGCATATTTTTCTACTTTGTAATTTAGCCTGTATCTTTTTCATGTTTCTGCCTCATTAGGGAGGTGTAAGATTTGGGGTGGGGGGGGGCCTGGGAAATACTGTTTGCCTTGCAGAATTCAGATGAGAACTCTGGTACCCTGCGGTACACCTCTTACCTGCCTGCCTTTTGAACCTGGTGTTAGGCATGAGCAAGGGGTTTGAGTGAAGGCTGGGTTCTCATGGGCCAAGGGTATCTAAAAAGAGAGGCTTTTGGTCTAATGATCGGAATGATAATGATAATAAAAACACCCTCCCCCAACACCTCGTGTTTCATAAGAAGTCCTTTAGGAGGTTTAACACTTGGTTGAAATCAGGTGTGTCCCCTCCATAAGGATGGGGATTAGTCCCCCAACAGCTGGCCCCATGGGGCGGGTTCTCAGCCTACCTAAACATGAACATAATTTGCTGTGTTTCAGCTTGGCTGAAGAGGAAATAAAAACAGAACAGGAGGCGGTAGAGGGCATGGACACTCCTACTCGCTCCAAAGGTGAGTACAAATCCTGTATTATCTATCCTGGGACTTTCTTTTGTCGTAGAGCAGCGAGTTGTGACTCTGAGACAGCCTTGCGACAATGAGGGATCATGGGATATACGTTCTTTGATGGATGAGCTGAATTTCCGGAGAGCTCTGTGGATGTTTCTTTCCCCCGTGTGGCTGTGTAGGTGTGCGGGCTTGTTGGGAGCTGCCCTTAACAGTAAATTTTAGGTGTGCAGATTGAGGAAAGGTGGCTGCCTCTCCCCAGGGGGATTGTTTCAGGAGTCAGAATTTACATGAAGCCACTGGAGTCTGCAGCTGCTGCTGGCTTCCTGATTTTAGCAGCAGGCCTCAGTGGTCTCAGAAGTGGGATGACGTGGGCCCATTTCATTGGGAGATGGTGTCTTTGGGTGGAGATAAAAAGGAAGCATGGAGCCTTCAGGAAGGCTGGGCCAGTGTTTGCATTTAGTGCTCACAGGTTGATATTTTGTTCAGAGCCTGTAGTGGACTCTGCCATGCCTTCTCACTGGGGGGGTGAGAGGTTTTATGGGGCTTCTTTCCTGGAAGGAAGCAGTCCCCCGCTTTTGCCTTGGGGGACTGTAAACCTCGGGAGCATTTTCCTATGTTTAGCTGAAGAAAATGCTCATCTCCAGACTTAATGGCCACACCACTGTGTTTTTGTTCCTACAGCTGGCTGTGGGCCTGGGGAGGTGGGAGGAGCTACAGGAAGGGTTATTACAGATTCTTCCAGAAGGAGGTTCTCAATCTGGCCAGAGTGTCACAAAAGGGGGTTGTGAGGATTTTTATGACACCAGCTAGGGTCAGATGGTTAGGGTGGTCAGTGCTGGGGAGCAGCAGCAGGGGAGGAGGAGCCAGGGCTGAGCTTCAGGCCTAATACCCTCCCCTTATCACAGCAGACCTAGCCGTGTGGGCCATCAGGGGGTCCCATTGCCTCATTGCTGGCAGCGGTAAAAAGGCACCCCATGGGGACCTTAAGCAGGAAGTCTGTACCTTCCCAAATGGTGTTTGAAGACAGCTGACCAGGAGGGAGCTGCAGCCATGTGGCCACCTCCAGCCCCTTGCTGTAGTCAGGGTCGAATGAGAGTGGTTGAAGCATGGTGGCTTCTGGTGGCCCAGAGAGGGGATGGGGGTGTGGGGGCGCCATCCTTTTTCTGTTCTGCTTTCTGTCTCTGTTCTTCCCGGTTCTTATCCATGAAATGAGGTGTTGGGTTATGGCCTATTTAGGACACCGTTATAAAAAACAATATACCTGTGTCTTGAGGTGTTTCTGAATGCTGGTGCTCCCTCCTATAGCTTTCTCTCAGTGAGTCCCATTCTGAGGTAGGTAGTTGTCCCTCCCACTTTGCAGGTGAGGAAACTGAGGCCAGTGGCAGAGCAAGACTGGACTGAGACTGCCTCTGAGAAGGTGCCACCTTCCTGCATGTGACTCACAGTCCTGCAGCCCCACATGGAGGCTAAAGAGGGTAAAGTCAGGGACTGTCTCCAGGCAGGATGCTGTGTGACACTGCATGTGTGACTCCTCTTCGAGTGTGGAGTTCTCATCCATCACAGAGCGTATAGTGACTGCTCTGGGTGACCATCTGCCCTACCTGGGCCTCACTCTGCAGCAGCCAGCACCATCTCAAAAACTCAGCCGACTCCTTCGGCTGACTTTCCAGCACCCTGAGTCTCTGACATCAGTGTTACTGTGACCTACGTCCTGCCCTCACTTCCCTTCCCTCTGTGACAACCTGCTCACCTGAAACTATTTCTCCCTGACCACGCTGCAACCTCCTTGTTCCCTCCTTGGAACCTGTGTGCCCTTTGCCTGGAACATGCTGTCTCTGGTCCTGGCAGCCTGTTTGTCTTCACCCATATCTATTGCACAAGTTACTCACAGAGCCTTTTGGTGGTCACCTCATCTGATGGAATAATTCTGCCATTTTCTGTTATACTTGGTGTCTGCCTAGTAAGTGTGAGGCCCTGAGTTCAAACCCCAGTGCCACCAAAAAAACCAAAAATTTTTTTAGCTGGGCACCAGGGGCTCATGCCTGTAATCCTAGCTATTCAGTAGGCAGAGATCAGGGATCGTGGTTTGAAGCCAGGCCGGACAAATAGTTCGAGAAACCCTATTTTGAAAAAACCTATCACAGAAAAGGGCTGGTGGAGTGGCTCAAGGTATAGACCCGGAGTTCAAATCTCAGGATTGCAAAAACAAACAAGCGAAAAACAAACTTTTTTGTTTTTGTTTTTGTTTGGTGGTACTGGGGGTGGAACTCAGTACCTTGCAATTGCTGGGCAGGGGCTCTACCATTTGAGTCACTCTGCCAGCCCTAAAGTAAACTTTTTAGAGAATAGTTTTATTTAGATTTCCAGAAAAGTATTGAAGATAGTGCTGAGAGTTCCCACATTTTACACACACACACACACACACACACACACACACACACACACACAATTGTTACCACCATCCATTGTTCATTTGGATTCATAATTCTGAATCCATACTCATGTGTTACTGCTAATTAACACCCATATTTTATTTCAATTTCCATTCTCCCTGCTGAGGAACCTTCTGTATTTTGGGATCCCACTGTGACACTGCATTACACTTAGTTGTCATGTCTCCCAAGCCTGCTGCTCCAGTTTCTCAGACTTTTCTTGTTTTCTGTGTACCTGACAGTTGTGACCTTGACAATTGAGTTCTGGTCAGGTCTTTTGTAGATGCTCCCCCAGTTGGGATCTGTTTGCTGTTTCTCAGGATTAGACAGGTAAACTGGGGTTATGGGTTTTGGGAATGAAGCTCACCAGGATAAAGTGACACTTTCCTCATGATCCCCAGGGTATATATTGTTACCCTGTCTTACACTGTTGATGTTGACCTTGACCAGGGTAGAGTTTTTCCTTTCTGTCAGTGTATTCTTTGGAAGGAAGTCATAGCGCCTGAGCCGCGTGTCGGGCTCAGTGAGTTGTGCTCTACCTCTGTGAGGGCAGAGCATCTACACAAGTTAGAATTCTCTATGGGAGATTTGTTTCTTCTTCCATATTTATTTAATCCGTTGTATTAGTATAGACTCAAATATAGAGTGTTTTTTAAACTTTGGGTTACAGTTTGGTGCGGTTTGCCAGTTGGGAACTCTGTGTGTTGGCTCTGGTGTGTCTTTGACAGCCCCCTTCATTGTGGGATTTGTTTGTTTGTTGAGGCTTCCTTACTTTCTGCCCTAGGCTTATCTTGTCTGTGCTGTGCCTAGCCCTAGAATCAGCCACTTCCTCAGGACCTTGGGTTGGTTTACTGGAGAATGGTATTAGAAACCAAGATCTGGGTGCTGGGTGTGTTCATTGCTAATGGGGTGTTTTGCTTCTAGGTTCTCTGAGTTGACAGCAAGGGAACATGTATTTACTCACCAGTGTATGTGCACCTACCTGTAAATATTTCCGCATGTTCCCATCTATGTCTATATTAGCTAAACGTGAGTTTGTGCACCTGGCTCCAACGCTTTTCCATTACTGCAGGAACAATTCTACTTCTTCCCTTATTCACTCCAACAAAGAGAAAGCCAGCTCCTGCTGTCCACTATGTGTGCTACATTCTGGTACCTTTTTAGTCTGATTTACAGTGTACAGCTCGATCAACATTATCTTAAACATGCACTCATGAGACCGTGACCCAGGTCAAGAAAATAGAAGGTTTCCAGCATCCAGAGGCTCTTTGATCACTCTGATTTTTGTTTTTATACCTTGTTTGTTGGTATACCAGAATGCAGGTGCTTTCTAGGTGGGCCTGGCCTTCCATACTCAACTCCTTCCCTCTGTTCAAGAGGCAGGATGGTGTAGAGATTTTAAAAACCAACCAGCTCCAAGAACCAGACAGATTCCCTGGTTTTGACTTGCCTCCACCCTAGCCGAGTCATTCTTTGTGGCTCCGTTTCCATTAAATGGAGGTGATAAAGATACAGGGTTATGGTTAAGATGAAACTGACTCACTCTGACTGCTCATGACTGTCCCCATGTTCCTGGGACATGAGTGTGCCTGAAAATGCTAGCCATGTCTTGAACCAAGTAGGAGAGATGAGGGACTTTTCCTGGTTGGTCTGCTGGGTGGAAAATCCCCGCCCCCCCCCTTTCCCACCTGCAGCCTCTAGACAAGGGAATGGAGGCAGATGTGCAAGCTGTCCAGACAGACCTCAGCTCCACTGGGGTCAGCGAGGGATTGGGTAGGCCGCCGGCAGGCAGGCTCAGCACCAGGTTCAGGGCTCTTACCCCTGCAGGACCTCTGCACCATTTAGAGAAAGCTGTTCTGCAGCTATTTGGAACCATTTTTCTGGTGCTTGGGGACCCTTGCTTTGGTGGGGAATCTGTGTTTCAGGGGACTTTGCTCTTTTCATCACAGTGCCTTTGGTGGCTGTCCTTGTGTGGATCTGAGCTCTGTCTCCTAGGGAAGTGTCTTAACTGGCTGCTTCTGTTCCCAGGGCTCCTTTCTGATGGAGCCACTGGGGTTAGGATCTTGGGCCACTCAGGTTCCCAGGAATAAGTTTGCATGGTCAAATGTGACATTTGTGAAGGTGGACTGGGCCAAGGTCTTATCTTTCTCAAAGTCCATGGCATGGTGTCCCAAACTCAGAGAGCACTAATTCTTTCACCTGTTCTGCATATGCTTTGAGAAATTTAGGGCTTCAGTCCCCAAATGATACCATCCATCAGGGTTCTTTGCTTGTGAGCAGCTGAAGGCAGCTCTGGTTCATTTGGGCAGGAACAGATGGACCAGGGGAAGATGGCCCACTGGTTTCTGGCCAGGATGGAAAGGCTGGTGGTCTAGGCTGCTCTAGGGAGTGGACCAGGCCATGTCACCTCAGGGACACCAGGGCATAGTCCACGTGTCATGTGTCTGCTCTTTGGTCAGAGAAGGGCTGGTGTCTAGACACCTGAACTCAGCCACACCGTCCCCACTGGGAAGAGAGAAGGAGATGAGGTGCAAGTGTTGGCATCTCCAGGAACTGGCAACATTGCTCTGTACTTGTAGCTGAAAAACAAGCCCTGAGCTCTACTTGGAAACTTAGAGAAGGTCTGACAATAGAGGGGCTGGTGGGGTGACTCAAGTGGTAGAGTGCCTGCTTTAGCAAGCACAAGGCCCAGAGTTCAAATCCCACTGCCCCAAACAAACCAACCCAAGGATTGATGCAGATTTTTTCCTTCCTTCCTTCCTTCCTTCCTTCCTTCCTTCCTTCCTTCCTTCCTTCCTTCCTCCCTCCCTCCCTCCC